TCCTGCTGCATGGCGACAAGAAACGACGAGGATGTGGTCGCCGTGAAGAGGTTCACATTGATCCTGGGCGGGGGGGTGTCGTGAAATGATCAATTTGGGCTCGATAGACTTGATAGTCATTCGTTGGGGTTGCGCATAAAACCACGAATGCGCAAGAACACAAACACTCGCAACCACAGATGTGTTTCCATTCGCGCCTGATCGAGATAGAGACGTCGCTGAGTGCTTTCTCCACACAGATGTGTCCGGGCGGACAGTACATGAAGTCGCCCGTCTTCAGATACTCAGCACATAAGGAGGGTACTGCCCACTGGTCGGGGAGCTCTTTGAGGTCAGTGCTCGCCAATTGGTCCACCGCCGCTTTGATGCTCGATTCTCCGTAGAAGGCCAGGACCTCCACCAGCGCCAGCAAGATCAGCCGCCCTCCCGACAGCTGGACCCGGATGGTGCCAAGACCCTGGCTCTCCAGGCCACAGTAGGTCGTGTTCTGACGGTTGGCCACGATCCAAGTGCTCTTCAGCTGCTCCCTCGCGGTCTTGAACTCGCCATCATTGCCAACAATGGCATCCACCTCTGGCGAGTCGAGCATGATCTCCTGCGCATCGTCCGGCAGGAGCCATCGCATGGATTCCTGCACAGAAGACGTCACATCCGTCTGCTCCATGATGATCCTCATCGAACATAAAACACCTACCTCCACATTCAGAACCATATGCAATACGCAACCCCCTAAATGAAAGATGTAACTGTTCGGCACTAAGAGTTGGCCAACTGCGCCAAGTGGCACAGCCTTGTTGGAGGCGCTGCTGGTGAACTTGGTCCGGAACTGGTTCACCGTGCTCTCGAAGATGGCCTGTTGCTCCTCGTCCTTGAGCAGCACCTTCATGATGTTCCGGCCTTTCTTGATGACATAGCAGCGGGAAATGTCTGCCACGCCGTTGCACAGATCCGAGCCAGGGTCCTTGATCACCCTCATGGGGCGGGCGTTCAACACCTCCTTGAACTTATGCAAGATCTTTGGGTCCGTGTCGTCCACCGCCTTTGACAGGGCCGTCCTGCCTTTCAACACGTTCTTGATGCGATTGCTTGGCTCGCCGGTGCTGTTCTCCGCCTTTGCCTTCTTTTGTTTTCGAAGCTTGTCCACCGACTTTCGCATGCGGCGCATGTCGACCACAGCTCTCCTCAGCGCAGCCGCAACCTTCTGCACAGCCTTGATTCCCCTTGTGGTTCCATCCGCCAAGGACTGGGCCTGCTCCTGCAAAGTTGACACCAATCACAGAAGATAAAGCAAGCTAAAGCAAGTTTATTCATCATACATTCACAGAAGATAAAGCAAGCTTAATACCTTGCAAGCAAAATTAGTTTCGGCCACGAGAAAGGTGCACGGTCCTTGTTGCCACATGTGTCAAACAAGGCCACGGGATCGACCATGTGCGGCACTCGGTCGATGGATATGTCGCATGCGAGGTTCTCGGCGATGTACTCATCGAGGCACAGGATGTGTTGCAAAGCCTCCTGCACCTGACAGAAACCACAACGATGTAATATGTTCAATGTTAAAAGTAACTACCAGTAAGCATATGGCAGCATGCAAACAAAAACAAAACTCAATCACAATCACAATCCCGCATGTTTCAGTTTTGTCTTGAAACCCGACACGACGCGAGTGGCCTTCTCTTCATCTCCATCACGACTCAAATCTGCCGCGCAGTAGGTGCTGTTGCTGACGATGATGTCGATGAACTCCTTGCGGTCAGCGGCGTTGAGCAGCTCGCATGCCACCACCCGCGAGTGCACGTTGAACATGCATTTCATCATGCCGGCTTCGTCAGCATAGTCCTCGTCCATCGCCATGATGGTGACCTTGTCCGCGCCGTTCGCCGTGTAGCCTTCAGAGTGGTAAACTACAATGGACAATAATTCTTGGAAGTCGGAAGTAGCAGAAGGTGTATACAATATATGTGGCTTGCGCTTGCACTACTCCTGTTTCACACCACAGAAAAGAAAATGCACGACTTGCTTAGTTTTAGTTTCTAAGCCAACAAACATGAAGTGCAGAAGTGAAGGCCATCACAAATTGCTGACGGGGAACTTTCAAACCTGCCCACGAGGTCTTCTTCTTCTGCGCGCCAGTTGCCATAGTGCTGGGTCACCGCTTCGCTCAAAGCGGCTCTGGTAAATGTGAGCTGGTTGGCCATCTTCCCCACAAACCGGTTGCGAACCTGTGTGAGGTCGACCAGCTTGGCCTTTCCACCGCCGTTGCCGTTGCCGGCCTTCTTCCTCAACTTAGACCACCCCCGACAAAATATTAAGGCCACCGCGACAGGCGACAAAAAGAAAAATACAAAATTAACTAACATGATAGTTTAAATCGAACCATGTGTCTTGCTCCCCTTCTCGATGGCTGTTTTCCCAACCCCAAACAAACTCGGCATACACGGTGGTCTCGGCGTGGAAATTGAAGAGCTTCACCGTCGCCAGAAACTCCGAATCCACATCGTGGCATACCTGATGAGATGATGTGACGTGAACCCGTTCGGCGCACTGCACTGGTCGGAAATACGAAGCAACTGCACACGGTTTGTTGAAAAGTTAAAAGAACAAGGCTTGGGCTCAAGGCACAAATGAAGCCACCCGCAGCGATGCTTCTTGAATCTGGCCCTCGGTCGGGTCCTTGGAGCTCTTCTGCTTGCTCACCGTGCGGGACTGCATGTCCATCTCGAACTTCTTGCGCTGGCGCGCCGCCATCACCCACACGTGGTCGCGCTTCTCCATCTCACCGGAGCGGCGATTGTAGACCTCAGGGATCGATGCAACCAGCCAGCCAGTCAGTCAGTCAGTCAAAAAAAGACAAGCAAACAAACAAAACACAGTACAGTTCAGTACAACAAACAAACATTAAATACAATCTTCCAGAATTGCTAACATCCAGTCCATCCAGTCTCCAGTTTCCAGAAAATAATAATCATAATCAAAAGCAGCAGCAGCATCAGCACCAGCATCAGCACCAGCATCAACAGCAGCATCAGCAGTCATCAGCATCATCATCATCATCATCAGCATAATCATCATCATCATCATCATCATCATCATCATCAGCATCAGCATCAGCATCAGCATCAGCATCATCATCAGCCACAGTGTGCCCCGCCTCCGCCTTGAAGCTTTCCACCCCGTTGCATCCCTGCAGATCTCGCAGCCAGGCCCGCAGAGCATCTGCTTCCGACAGTTGGTCCTCAACTATTGCACGGCGTGACGGGGTGAGTGGATGCACTTGAAATGCAAAATCAAGTGGCTCGTGGGCGGCACCGGTTACAGTTTTGACACGCGTTGAAAAACAACACGAATACTTACCGACCATGACCAAGTTGGGCGGTCCTCGCCGCGCTTCGGATCCATGAAGTGGGCCTTGTAGGCAACCCAGTCGAGGGCTTCCCAAACGCCGCCAGTCTGCTGGACCTTGGCCGATGAGGTCTCCTCCTTGTACCTTGGGGTGTGCTCACGCCAGCTCAAAGCGAATCACACTACTTGTCTTATCTCCCAACATCAAGAGGCAATGAAAGTAAAGTACAACTCTGACAACTACTATCAAACCAAGTTGCACCAGGAGGTCAAACTTGGCGTGGGTGCCCCTCCTGCCGCACCCCTTCTCGGTGTGGTCTCGCATGATCGCCTGATATTCGCTCAGCGCAGTCCAGGGCAGCCTCACTTGCCCAAAGACCCAGAGTTAAAACCCCTTTGTGTCCTTTGGGCCGCGCCATCCGTAAAAATGGACCAGATAGGAAAAGGAAAAATTTGAACAATGTCGGCCTCCTCAACAACTGAGAAGCTGGTTGAACCAGCGCACCATGTTGCTGTCCCCCGTGGAGGCGATGATGCTGCGGTGGCGCCGCGAGCACCCCAAGCAGCGGCGCTTGAGGATGTGAGAGTTCGTCAACTCCAGGGGGTCGACGACGACGCTGCAGTTCATGCAGCAGCCCTCCGGCGGAGAGCCTGAAGCATGCGGATCCGAAAGCTCAAATTCAAAAAAGCAGCTGCCTCAAACCAAAAATACATTTGTGAAATAGTATAGTATCAGTACGAGTGGCCTAATTGACCTTGGGTACATGTGTCATCTGATATGTTCAAGGTCAAGCAACCGCTGGCGCCTGATCCACCACCCAGCTTCGCGCCCTTCTCATCGCCACCATCTCGCCCATGAGCATCATGTGCAGCGGCCAACATCGCGAGAGCTACTTCAGCGCAGTTGTGACCCAGTCGGTTGGTCGCAGTCACAGTTGAGGCATGTCGCTCAAATCATATGTTGCTCAACTCGTGAGTTGCGAACTGCTGAACGCCTGCAAGCGCCTGTCACATAAGTCGTGCACCCGATCAAGTGCGAGCCCAGCTAAACAGCCACGAGGGAAAACGATTGTTACTGTCTGCACGCACTGCCAAGGCTGTGACTGTGACATGACAGCACACTTGCCCTGGCTTTGACTGATGACCCACTTGTGATTTGGTGGCGTGGTGCAAGGTGAAGCTGGCACATGACCGAGACTGAGGGCTGGTGTTTTCAATCGCTCAACTTGGTCCGGCTCATGCGACAAGACTCATACCAGCATCGGACCACCTAACAGGTTTGCTAGCCCATCTGTAACTTGATGCAAACGTCGGTCCGCGTGACACCAGCCAGTTCCATCTAAACAGCTAGCACCACTGGCAGGGAATGCACAAAATTGAGTGCATATTGCGAGGTGGCACCAAACGCGAACTGGCAAAAACTAACTTCAACATTTGGAAGATGTATGAAGTCGCTTTCACTCTTGCTGCCAGTGCTGACAAATCATGGGACGCACACGCCGGCACCAAAGCAACCTGACATTAAAAGAAGATGCGCACCCAATTAGAACGTCTGGGCCTGTATCTGGGCCAACATGTGCCGTGTGACTCTGCCGGTGCCATGCCATGTGAACTCCTAATTACAGCAAGCGCCTCAAAGCGCCGGCTCCACTCACCGCTCAAATCCGCTGAAATGCTGAAGGCTCCAAGTTGGCCATGATGAACGAGGTGAAGGCGCACGCGCAGCACTGGTTGAAGCTGTTCCCTGCCATCCTTCGAATGGCCGACACGCTGACCTGGGCCCTCTCAAAGTTGATCGGGCACGCAGTGAACCCCGCCGCCTGCCACAGGTGATCGTAGACAGGGATGACCTGCCCCACCAACAGCTCCTGCGGCCAGTTCTGAGAATCATCAATCGAAAACATGAAATACACACAAATGCAAACTTACAAACAGTTCAAAGACATGAAGCAAAGGCCATATCCCCACTTTGGACTGCGGACGCGCCCCATCCGTCCTCAGGAACGTACAGCCGGTTGGCCTTGATCGCCCACCTCGCTAAGACCAAATCAGTGCGCGTATGATCATGGCCACTAGGGCACTACCATAAAACTGATTGACTTGGGAAGACCAGCACCGATAAAAAGATGAGAGCCAACGCAGACTCAAACTCAGAGACTTGATCGCAATGCCAAGGCGCATGTGAGAAATCGACGCCAAAATGACCGGCATGTGATCCCCATAGTGGGGTTGGAAGTGCGGATTCTGATCCAAGTTTGCTGCAACTTCTCGTGTGAAGTCCTCCTTTTGCACAATTTCTTGCACGGTCCGAAGGTTGGCAAGCGCTGCAGGCGGCAACAGGTATTCCCACTCCTCGACCGACCCGCGCATTGCCAGAGCTGCCATGTACCGCTTGAACTGCGCGACCTGGCAAGTCACGTGTGGGAATGTGTGCAGTGTGCCAGTGTGCCAACAAGCATTAACCCATGATGACTTTCATAGCACTCAACTCAATTGTTAAAGTTTATGACTCTTACAATTGTAGCTCCCCGAGCTCTCAATCATAATCCTGAACAATTTCCATACATCTTGTCACATCACTTTGTCACATCGGTCCTTCTCCTGCGGGGCCTGAATCTGTCCATCCCGTTCGGCAGAATGAGGTCAGACCGCACCACCACATCGTACGATCTGCTTCTCTTGACCGGAGCGCCAAACTGGGCACATTCCAAAATCTGGTGATAGTCCCGGTATCCGCTGAGGACCTTCTCGAAGACGCTATACGGGAAAAGCCGAGTACACTCGTGGATGAGGAGAGATGCTTTCAATCGTGAGGTCAGCGCCAGCATGCCCGCCGCAAGGATTCCGTAGTTGCCGCAAAACCCCTCTTGGCGCCCCATGCTGGACCAGTCCTGTGCATCAGGGTACACACTCCACCACACAGTCACATCGCCCCACAAACATAAAACCCAACCCATCTTCACACTCGAATCTCCCGAATCCTTGCAAACAGATCCGGCCATAATGACCAAAAGCTTGTTCTCATGCGCGTCGCTCATGAGCTCATCCAGGGCCACCTGCCAGGCGTTCTATCGTTTAATTAAAGATCTCGCAAAACGAACATATCCACCTGGCGTTCGTTAGATTCCGACCCGACCCAGATGTGAAATGACACCCGTCTGCCTGCTTGCCATCAATGACGTCAATATTGGCCCTGAAGCCTCCGTCACGCAGCATCTCGTTGAAGAGCGACACGAGCAAGGCCTCGCCGCAAACCGTGATGGCATCCTTGTGGGCGTTCAGCTTCTTCTTGAAGGATGCCAGCTGCACCTTGTTGTTCTTCGGAATGTCCCGCATCGTCCGCTTCAGTTTGACGATCTGGTCCAACCTGGTGTTTCTGGTCTTGCTGAAGCTCGAAATGATGTTTCGACATCGCCCCACACATGTGGGAGTCAGGAAGTCGAGCAGGTTCTCCACCATGAACTGCGGAGGATGGGAGTGTTGCCGCAGCACAGCTCTGCACTCATGATCCAGCTCGCACGCCAACAACATACCTGATGAGGAAACATCACAACACCTGCAAAAGAAAAAACAACCACGTTAACAAAGTCAAAGCGTGACACAACACACCATCATATCTCAAAAATATTGGAACAGGGCAAAGAAGCGTGGTGGGGTTGGGGGCGCAATGTTGCAAATCTGATAGCAGGCCAGGTAGTTCTGCTGCATCGCGAGCTCCGCCCCACCCAAGCCCGAAAAGAGACTGATGAGCACGGTGCGGCTAATGTTGTCTCTGTGGCGCACCAACGCATCGATCCCGAAGTGCTTATGGATCCTCCGCAAGGCACTCAGGTGATGCTGGAAGAGCTCCGTCGGGTGCATCATTATCACCAGCTTCATCTTGAGAAGGGGCAAGCTCCTGGTCAAACAGGTGGACATATTTTCACACACAACCATATTATCACAGACCATCTATAAATGCCACCCTGTTCAACATCTGACCTGAGAACAATTAGTGCATCAATGCAGAACAACAAGCAATGCTCCTCTTCCACGTAGTCACGCATTGTGATCGGCTGCGGCTCTTTGCTCGACGCATCCTGGCTTTCCAACACGTGACATTACAATCAACCCCATGTAAATGATTATATACTTACACACATGCAGCTGTGATGTTGCATATCAAAACAGAAAGGTCGCCACTCATCCTTGTCCCTTCACATTGAGAAAAGCTCAAATCTGATGCAAAACCACGCAGATAAAGACAGGTGCCAGAAGTTAGATAAGAATCATGCACACTCGTCACGGTGTCGTTGCTGGACGTGCTGGAACTGGACGATTTGCAATCGCTGCCGCTGTCAGACCCGGGATCCACCTCCATGTTGGCAGCGCTGCTGGGTGCCTTTGACTTGGACTTGGCCTTCGCCTTGGGGCGGTGTGCCGCAGACTTGGCCGTGGGTTTCGGCGCGACCCCCGCTGCTTTGGCCTTTGGTGATGCCTTGGCCTTGGTTCTCGCAGGCTTTGGGTTGCCACCCTTCATAGCAGGCAAAGGTTTCTTGTCCGTCTTCACCGTCTTCATGGCTTTCATCACAGTAGTGACCTTCATTTCTCTCTTGGCCTTCATGGCCTTCATAGCTTTCATCGCCTTCACTGCACTCGGGCCAGTACGACCGCGCGCCATTGCAATCGCTTGGAGCAAGGCCAGTATCTATGCAATCAACACGTGCCAAGCATTTGTCATGTCATTTGCGTGGCTGTGTGTGCAACCAGCATGCGCATGATGTGGCAATATAGCACCACCAGATCCCGGCTTCGAACCTTGAGCACGGTACGGTGTTCATTTGCAAGCCACACAAATGTTCCAGTCTGACTGAATGCATGCAGTGACGGCCTTTGTTTACACAGCGTGTGTTGGGATCGTCGAATGTCCACTCACATTGGAGCATGAATTGGTCTGACTTGACAATGGACAATCTGCCAAAGTGATTGTAGGATTCACCAATCACACAAGACGATGTTACATTCTCCAATATGATTAGAAAATTAGTTGATATGCTTTGAAAATTCGCCAATCTCCAATCTGATTAGAAAACTATCCGATCCAATTTGAGAATTATCCAATTTGATTAGGGAATTCTCCTATCTCCAATCTGATTGGGGAATTATCTAATCTCCCATCCCATCTCCAATCTAGTTGGAGAAATCGCCAATCTCCAATCTGATTGGAGAATTCTCCAATCTGATTGGAGAATTCGCCAATCTGATTGGTGAATTCTCCACTCTGATTGGAGAACTTTCCAATCTCCAATCTGATTGGAGAATTCTCCAATCTGATTGGACAATTCTCCAGATCCCCAATTTGATTAGAGAATCCTCCAAATCTCCAATCTGATTGGGGTCTCCAATCTGATTGGGGAATTCTCCAATCTGATTGGAGAATTCTCCAATCTGATTGGAGAATTCTCCAATCTGATTGGAGAATTCTCCAATCTCCAATCTGATTGGAGAATTCTCCAATCTGATTGGAGAATTCTCCAATCTCCAATCTGATTGGAGAATTCTCCAATCTCCAATCTGATTGGAGAATTCTCCAATTCTCCAATCAGATTGGAGAATTTTCCAATCACATATTTTCCGCCAAATTTCTCCATCAAAACGCTTGAATTCTCCAAAAAACTACTCAAAAACGCTTCTCATATCCTGAAGATTTCGGCAATTCTCCAACACCCCAATATGATTGCAGAATTCTCCAATCAGATTGGAGAATTCTCCAATCAGATTGGAGATTGGAGAATTCTCCAATCAGATTGGAGAATTCTCCAACCAGATCGGAGATTGGAGAATTCTCCAATCAGATTGGAGAATTCTCCAATCAGATTGGAGAATTCTCCAATCAGATTGGAGATTGGAGAATTCTCCAATCAGATTGGAGAATTCTCCAATCAGATTGGAGAATTCTCCAATCTCCAATCTGATTGGAGAATTATCCAATCTGATTGGAGAATTCTCCAATCTGATTGGAGAATTCTCCAATCTCCTATCCCATCTCCAATCTGGTTGGAGATGATTGGCGAATTCTCCAATCTGATGGGAGAATTCTCCAATCTGATTGGAGAAACCTCCAATCTCCCATCCCATCTGCAATCTGGTTGGAGATATGTCCAATCTCCAATCTGATTGGCGAATTCTCTAATGTGATTGGAGAATTCTCCAATCTGATTGGAGAATTCTCCAATCCCCCATCCCATCTCCAATCTGGTTGGAGATATGTCCAATCTCCAATCTGATTGACGAATTCTCCAATCTGATGGGAGAATCTCCAATGTGATTGGAGAAATCTCCAATCTGATTGGAGAATTCTCCTATCTCCCATCCCATCTTCAGTCTTTCGGGAGATATGTCCAATCTCCAATCTGATTGGCGAGTTCTCCAATCTGATTGGAAAATTCTCCAATCAGATTGGATAATTCTCCAATCAGATTGGAGGTTTATCAAAGCTGCTTGGAGAATTCTCCAATCTCTCATCCCATCTTCAATCTGGTTGGAGATATGTCCAATCTCCAATCTGATTGGATAATTCTCCAATCTCCCATCCAATCTTCAATCTGGTTGGAGACATGTTTAATTTTTAATTATCTATGTTGGGGCATTGTACATTGTGATTGGATAGTTATCTGGTCAGGCTGGATACATTCCCAGTGTGACTATCTGGTGGTATCTGGCATCTGGTGGAGAGAATTATTTAGGATGAAACTGAAACATGTTGAAACCAATGAAATCCCTCCAAGTCTCTCCAAGTCTCAACCTCACGTCTGAGAGCTGCTTTTTCTTGACGAGATATAAGGGCATCGTGTGGCAAGAAAACGTGTCTGGCATCACCAGCATCACCCGGGCGTGTCTGGGCGTAGGTTCATCGCATTTTTGGAGGGGGTTGAGAAAATACCCAGTGACATGGGGGGTTGTCCAAATTGGAAACCCCTTTTGGAATGTTTGGTTTTGGGCCCCTTGGAACAGTAAAGCCTCTATGGTTGTATTATTGTATCTTTTTTTCAGGGAGCTCCTATCTTGTTTGGTGGAGGGAAACCAAAGGAACACCTCATTGCATTTTTGGAGTATCATGCCTGTCGTTTGTCATCTGATTGGCAATGCACTGCACAAAGTCTACTTGCAACGAAAACCCAAATCCTGCCACACTTCAAAAGTGAATTCAGCTCTGGGGGGGGCATGTGATGTCCACGTCCAAACGACACCCAGCTCAGCTAATGCTGTTTCCTGCTAGCCACCTCTGTCGTGCTATCAGTATGCCACATGCCATGCAAATTTTGCATGGGCGCAACTATGAGGGCGGTGCCACAAAAAACATAATCATAGGTGCTGGTCCAGCACTCCAGGTAGTTCTACGCGCTCAACTGGCGCCATTCGCATCAGCTCATCTTTCGATCTCAGGGTAGCCGATGCCGCCGGCATGTTCCGTCTAAGTATGTGCTCTTGCTTGGTAGCGTACTTGCCTGCATCCAAGCACCATTGAAGACACCTTCGTAACGCCGTCTCCTCGTCTGGTTGGTTGACCTGGACGGCCTTCTCGCAAGATACGTGCACTGGACAGAGCGCCACCCATGTCGGAATTCGCTCAGGATAAAGCAATGAGCGGTCGTCTCTATACTTAATCGCGAACATGCCATACTGGAAGGATTTCTCGTGCCATCCTCTGCGACGACCTTGAAACGCTCGTACCCCTGCTGGAGAAGGCTCTGCCGCCGCCGGCTCTGCCACTGGTTCTGCTGGAGCCGCCGGCTCTGCTGGAGAAGGCTCTGCTGCCGCCGGCTCTGCCACTGGTTCTTCTGGAGAAGGCTCTGCAGCCGCTGCCACTGGTTCTGCTGGAGCCGTCGGCTCTGCTGGAGAAGGCCCTGCTGCCATTTCTATCACTGGGTCATCTGCATCTGGCTCTATCTCTTCCTCCATATCATCTTCCCCGCCGCAACCATCATCCCCTTCTGTGATCACCACATCTGCCGCAGGTTCTGCAGGGCACGACTCAAGCCAAAAACCAGCACACACACACAAAAAATGACAGGGCATGCCACCATGTTGAAAGGGCAAGCATTGTGCTGTAAATTGTCTATGTTCCAATTGAGTCTACTGCCATGACTGACACTCACGCGGAAAAGCAGGAAGCTGGCGCCATGATTGGATCACAACATGTGAGCGAGTTGAAGTTGAAGAGCCTGAGACTACTCATTCATGACGTTATAAACACACCTGACACTCGTTCGTGCTTCTGGCACGTTCATACGAGAAACACATTCAGGGCAAGAGGAGGCAAGGTCCAGGCGCCTATGTTGCTAACGTGCAGCCCAAGGGGTGCTCAGGCCGCCCTGCAACTCCTTAAAGTTGCTGCCAACTGCCAACAATCCTAGAAGCTTGTTGGGCATAAGCAAGTTTTCCTGGCTTGGGATCAGGGTTATGGGGTTCTGACCACCGAGTATCAATTACCCGGTCATTGACCGAAGCTTGCTCGATATAAAAGAACACGTGGGGACCTATGTTTGCCTGAATCTGTCTAATGACGCTAAACGCACAACAGCGCAGCGCTACAAGCACTGCTCGGTCAATCAGCCAACCCCAGTCCTTCGATCGCTGCGGCTAACAGCCCTTGACCTTCATCATACCAGCCCAGTGGCCTGTCGATGTCAGACTTGATCTTGCCCCGGCCGCCGGTGAGCCCCATCAAAGCTTTGTAGAGCGCCGCTGTCTTGCCCGGCTCCACTGAAGAAATCCTACGATGTAACTCGTTGGGCACTCAAATCTAAAAGACAGAAGGCATTTTGCCAAAACAGGCTGAAGCCGAAAGGATGCCCCAGCAAAAAGAAATAAAACAGGCTAGTGCAAATCTACCTCCG